TACCCTTTGTTACTATTTCTATGTATGTATCCTTATTCCTCATATTAATTATGAAGCCAATGAAAACTTCCTTTTTATTTATTCCATGCCATCAAATAATTGTAAAGACGGGTCTCATCTTTCTACCATCTTCCCCCCCAAAAGTAAAAAAACCTATTTTTTAGTCATTAAGTTTTATCAGTATAGTTTTGATAAAAAGACTTCTTCCAAGTTACACAGACACTGCAATGCAGCGGCAACGACAAGGAGAAGGCTGCAAACACGGTTATATACTAAGCAGACAATTGACTAATATTAAAAAGTGGCACAGAAGCTATAGAAATCACCTAACATATATATTTTTCATCAGCTTTGTTCAAGTTTTTCATTTCTTTATTTCTTGGTCAAACAGAGTCTAAAGATGCAGGTACCCTTCCTTCATATCACTGCTCAGAGAAGGAACACTGTTCTTCTCTTTTGCTGTTGCCCAAGACTTTTTTCTTCCTGGTAGCCCACAGTTATGTATACTACTAATCCTGGACAATATTCTCATTTTCCCTAATCTAATGAAAACATAATGACCTAGCCATTCAGCCTTAGTATGTACCTACCACCTTTTGTTGTCACTTCACCTGTATTTATTGTGATGTAAATGAGACAAGAGCTCACGTAACATATTTAGTGAGCAAACCTCTGAAGATGCTAAATACTTCATTAGTTAATCCCTAACAGATATATAGTGGTTTAATAGACAAAATCCATACACCAAACTAAGTATACACAGCTACTACTTATCATGCAAAGACAAAAAAAAGTTATCTTTTCTATTTTCTTTTCTGTTTGGATCTGAACAGGGCAGATTTTAAACAAACAAGCAAAAAAAGATTTCTTCATGTTTTTTTTGTTTGCGTTTTATCTTGCTTTACTATTAATAAAGTTTTGAAATATATCATGAAAGAAATCTAAATTAAGGGCCTTTTCTGTTTGTTTTTTGTTATTTTTTTTTACCCAGTTATGATAGGAGTTAGCAATCGCCTTCAGCATCCACAGATTCAAATGATAAAGGCCAGGGATTAAGCACAGCCGATTAACAGCCTGTGTCCTCTTCAATCTAGCATTTCCACTGTAGATAAACCCATATTCAGACTGAAGTTATAATAAACAGACTGTCCCCAATATCATTTCCCTAGATGACCTCCTCAAAACTGACATTCAAGTATTGTTGTAGCAAATTACATTTTATAGTAACTGGAAATGCAGACAACATATACCCACATAAATGATTCTGAAGATCAAGCAAAATGTTTAGAAAGCAATTTGGATAAAATTATAATTTTACTAGAAATATTTTATTTGTTTCGGTTCTGATTAATTTCTTATGGTTATAGATTTGACATATAAAATAAAAGCAGTTTGCTAAATTTTATCTTTATTGCTAGTACTGTGTATTTTTAAAATAACTGCATTATTATTTATACTTATTAAGACAAAAAAAAATCACAATGAATTATGGCAGTTGCAATTTTTTCCCATCCAAAGGCAAAGGAAAACAAGCACTGAAATTCACCAGGTACGCCAGATTCTCTGAAATGTGCCATTGTAAGGAAAGTGTCAGTATAGACCATTTTTGCAGTGAACAACAGCAAAAGAATAAAAATCCACATGGACAGAATTGCAGAAATATTCTATTAGGTATGTGTTTTGATTTCTATCATAAATAATATTTTCACCCAAGATTAAAAAAAAGTTCTTAAAAACAAAGATTTTTTTGCTTTGTAGGAACTTCTTAACATGGGAAGTTCTGACAGGGTTTTGCTGCTATTTGACATACGAAGTCCAGAATCTTATGAGTCAAAAGAAAGGCTGTGATCAATACAGATATAAAGTGTGTAACAGGGCATTTTAATTTCTTTATGTAGATGCTCCAACTATTTTAAGGAAATATAGAATTTTGTTCATTTAATTTCAATGCACTTCTTTAGACTGAAGTAACAACATTTCAAACTATTATATTATAAATAACTAATCTTATCTACCCAGTTAAAGTGACTATATTCCACTCTTATTTCCATTAGTTTATACTGGCAGAATTCCGGTGAAGCAATTCTGAAATCAGATGAATGCATGTGTACATTTATTCTTCCATTCTTTATTCAAAGTACATGATCAAAACCTGTTTCCATTTGACCAAACCAAGCAGGTGATAAGAAACAGGTCATACCATACAGTGCAAAGAGACCCCTGACAAAACAAAAAAAAACCCACCAAACCTGAGCTGCATTTTGATTAGTTATTCAGTAGAATTGGTTTAAAGTAAGCACCACATGTGAACACAGTTAATTCATTAGAGTTGTTCATCAATTCTTTTCACTGAAGTTTTTTTGTGTTTTTTTTTAAAAAGACAGCACAAAATCATTCAGATTAAATTTCATAGTCAGAACATTAATTAGGTTTGGATGATTCCATACACCTTTTCTTCCAGACACAAAACAGTTTCAAAGCTCTTAAATAAAACTGTACTTGAGACAGAATTGAAAATGTGAATTTAACTCAAAGTCTCCCACTTTGAGATCTTGCCTCAAAAACACATTTCATGGCCTGTCTTCATTACAATGTAGCTTATTTTTGCCAACTAAGACTCATATAATGAAGCATAATGTGTTTAATCAGATTATATGGACTACAATTTAAGGCTATTTATGTTTAGTATGATTTGGAGACACACTGACTTAGGAGATGTGATCTGTAGGTCAGTTCTCCTTAACCATCTTTATAAGCAGAAGGCTGCATATTTTCCTCACAAAAAAAAAAAAAAAAAAAAAAAAAAAAACAAACCACACTGAGTTGTATTTAGTTGTATTTAACTAGTCATAAGATATACAGCATCAAATCAAAACATTATGTATTCCATTCATTAATTTTTAAGTTTCTTATTCCCCATTGAAACCTATTAAAAATGCTTGTGATATCGTACAGGAACAATCTTGCCTTGAGCTCAACACTGACATCAGACCTTGTCTCTCATTCAGTTATATACTCTTTTATGCACAGACTTATTTTTTGAAGAGTATATATAAAAGAAAATTTATTCTCTTTACATGCTATTTAGTGTAAAAAAAAAAATCTAAAACCAGGAGGAAGAGTAAGACATATACTTTTTATGGAATTAAGTGCGCAAAAAAGTCTACCACAGGTAAGATTAAATTTATTAGTGCTTTCTATTTTTAATCTAACAGCAAATACCATTAGCTATTACATGCAAGATGAGAAATTTTATAGGTTGTTAGTCATTCAGCTCACAGTATTTTACTATTATCCATTCAGTTTCAAATATTCTTTTCCTAGGCTTTTGTATATTTCTTCCATGTTTAATTTCCCATTTATTATTATCATTATTATTATTTTTGTTATTGCTATTATTTTTATTTATTTATTTATTTATTAATGCTAGGCTTTAAAATAAATCTGAGTTAGCAGAGCTGATATTCCTTCAGTGAGAACAAATAAAATCTTAACCTGAAATGCTTTCTTAGGGAAAACATACCCTATTGACTAAGTAAAAGATGCAGGATAAAATCCAGATCATAAACAAATTTGGGAAAGAATTATCTTTGTTATTATCGAAGGAGTGAGACACAGTGCAACAAGACTGGAAGAGGGAAAGCACTGAGTGGAAAGATCTGTTCCTTCATCTCCACACACACTCACACACACATGCATACACATGCACACACAGAGCCCCATACACACAGCTTTTCTTTCAGAGCACTTTTCATTTAAGCAGCTTGGTAGTATTTATGTTTGCAGAGCACCTGGTATTCCCAAACCTTACCCCTTTATTTTTAGCTTTCAGGTTTTTGCTTCAGCTGATGAGAACAGGAAAAGAAGGCGGTATGTTTATTGCTGGAAAACGGCTTGGAAATTCTGAGTAAAGAAGCCAATCAAGGCAGAAGGATTATAATAATCAGAGTACAAAATTCGCATATTTAGAGTATGGTTACTGAGAAATAACAATGCCTCAGTTATGCAAATCAAACCCTCAGCTAACGTGAAGGGATTTGCATATCTGGGAGAAATCTGTCATGTTATGCATTGGTAACTACATTCTGAGTGGCTGAACAAACTGGCTTTTAGCAGAATATTAAACATAATTGCCAGTAGAATTTTTTATTTCCTTGTGATATAGAATAAACTTCACTCATTTGGGGCCTGATGAAAACAGGTCTTCCTGTCTATATGAAGCAATACCATTCAGAACCACAAAAGATACATTCAGCCTGCCATAAAGCTAGAATTTTTAAGATTAAGATCATGAAAACATTCAGTTGTGTGTTACCAATTGTGTTCATCCTTTTTACCTATAGAAAGTGGTTTAAAGTAGCCCTCTTGAGAAAGCATTGCAGAAAACAGATGAAAGTCTAAGGCCACCGGTTCAGCTCTGAATAATAAAATCATATTTACTTCATTTTAAATTTAGTGAAAATAAGTTGGACTGAAGAATTTCATAGGTAAAAATCCTGGAATAAAACTGCAGACTGAAATACTGTAACAACTTTCTATTATCTATTTAAATCAAGCAAAGTTAATAGTAGGCTCAGAGGTATTATAATAAAGCTAAAGAAAAAAAATAGGGAAAATCTCCTTTAAAAATCAGTATGTGGCAGTATTTGTACCATTCATGTGTGGAAAATAAATATGCTGCTTCTGGTTAATGTTTATTTCCCTTTCCTCTCTTGTGAATGATGCTCAGCTGTAATTCAGAAGTAAACTTGAGGCTGGCTTACACACCCTGGCCTCCCCCTGAAAATAAAATTGTTGTTTGGTGTTACACTGAAATATGAGGGAGAATTCATGCAAGCATGTTCAATTTATAAAGTATTACTTATAATGCACGTTCAGAGGCATGACCCATTTCCACAGATAAAACATGGAGGAAAACGAGCAAGATGCTTAAAGACCTGGCTACTACTCATGTGCAGAACTGGGGAGTGTGCTACAGTGTGGTCCTTAAGAGTACTTACCATCCTCTGTGGGCACATAGATATTCAAATACAGGCAGTCTTCATTTTGATCTTGAACATATGTCACCACAGTATCCAGATTGGCTGTAAACCAGACCGGCAGCATGTCGTTTAGCAGTGACCTCTCATCCAGGTACTGCGGGCAGACAGCGGCAAACTGTGTGGCGTTGCGGACACCTGTCCAAGACGACGGTGGCTCTGGGGGCTGAAATCGCCTCTCCCCAGTCGGAGGAGAGGCATAAGGAACACCCAGGTACTGCTCCACTGGACCAAGGATCTCATTGGGCAAAGGTGTTCTTAAACCACGTATTTTGCCATAATTAGTGGTAACAACTGGATATTGTGCTTGGCCATCGATGAGAGTAAATCTTATAGCCAGTGCAGTTATCCACAGGAGGAAGTTAGAATTCAACATGACACACACTGGGGTGAAGATCAAAGGCAGCCATAGGAGTCCCATTGGTTTCGACATTATTTAAATCAACATCAGCAGGGCCCTTTTTTCCACCGCCAGGAGAAAATTAATCAGTCACGGAAAATGAATTCTAATAAAATAAAAAAGTAGTCAAAAGGAGATGAAGCGAGGGAAAATGTAACCTTGTTCAGGCAGCGAAAAACCAAAAGCTGATGTGTGGTAGGTGCCTCAGCTGACTGGCTGTAGACAAATCCCAACATCAGAAGAAACAAGGGAGTGTTTGCCCCTAAGGCCCATCCCAGACTTCAGCGTTGGCTTAATCCTGGCAAAGCACAGCACTTCCCACCAAATAGCACAGGGAGAGATCCACAGTTATTCCACTTGCCCAGCGAAATGGCTCCTTCCAGTGAAGTCCAGCCCACTAAGTCAGCCTGTGGCCAAGAGAAAACAAGCAATTCAAATCAACAGACACATTCATATTGGCATAAATCTAAAAAAAACCCCAAACCAAACAATTAAATTCACACACTACTTCCACGCCAAGGCCCACAAATGTTTTCTGAACTTAAGGAAGCATGGTTAGCTATGTGTTTCCAGATACATAAGGAAAGAAAGCTGAAAATTGCAGCCACAAACTTGTCAGAGGTTATACCACAAACCAAACATTTCTGCTCTTGTATATGCTTTCAAACCACAGCCCAAACATTGCTGCTTTCAGGAAGGATATCACATCTAAGTACTACCTCCAGGGTATTTTCTGCCCTAAATAAACATCTCCCTTTTAAGCATATTTGCACTCCCACAGCAAGCATTCATTAAATTTTTTGCTGCATTGCATAATCTCTCTTTGTTATGATATCACTTCTATATGTATGCATTTTTCACAGGTGTGCCTACTCTTCTGTATGACAACCTAATTCAGAATGTAATAGCATTATATTAGTTCAAAGCAAGTGTTAGAACAATTAGTCAAAATTAGATACAAAGTTATTTGGTTTCATATCTTTTCTTTGTTTTATGTGGAACAATGGAACTGGGGGAAAAAAAGCATGATACAATCTCTCAGAAGTCAGATTTTGACTACATAATATTACAGCCATGTAATGTTGCCTTCTTGCAAGCTCCTACTTTTAATTTGTAGACAGAAGGCAAGTCATACAATAATTCTGTTAATTTTTAATGAAATGCAAGTAACTCATATATATATATGCTAACCATTACAAGTAGTACAAATAAACACACAGCACTTGTTAATACTTACATTCTTCTCCCTGCACAAAGCGGAGGAGTTCCTTTTTACCCGTTATTCAACTCAAAATGACAGATGATAACAATTCCACAGCTAAACCAATCCTTGTTATAGGAAACTGATACTTTACATTTGATAGGATGAAAACACATTTATCTATAAAACATATATAAGTGGACCCCCAGATCCTGTTTTCAGTCAGGACTCTGTCTCATTACAAAAAATAAAACCAAAACATACCCACAAATCCCCTCCAAATAGCCCCAAAATAACTACAGATGACTTCTATGCTGATTATTTCAGACAACGAAAGGCATCTGAAAGAAAGGTATTTCATTCTCTCAAAATTCCTGTAATTCTTCAATTACTTCATTTCAGCACTTGTACCACAAAAGTTTTGAAACAAAACCAGAGGACAGAAAAATATCAGATACATATTATTTATGGCGAACCAAAATTTCTATTGACATTTTCACTGGTAGATAATAGGCTCAGATGCTACCTCCAAAAGACTTGCAACTTAAGCGTAATTTCTGAAGGACAAATCAGTAACAGCTGTAAGTGTCATGTCCTTGAGGGCACCACCAGCCCTTGCAGGCCCTGCCAAGCCCCACTTGGGACCTGCCCCACCCTGCCCATGGCCATAGGACGCCATTTCAATCCATCTCAGGGCCCTCAGTCACTGTCTGAGCTGTGCCACAGGGAGCCCTGTGTTCAGACCCATACCCAGCCTGGATCTTGCCTTGACTGGGTCCCCAGGTGAACCTTGGACCTGACTCCTCACCCTGCCTGGCCTGATGATCATTGGGCAGTGGCACGGTCCTGGCCCTGTCACCAGCCCACCCTCAATGGGGTGCTTTAGGAGGATGCTCCGTCAGGAAGTGTATTGCTCTGCCATCTCTGCCCACATCTCCTGGCTCATCCTCCCCTGTCGGGCAGCCCCACTCTGGCTGCTCCCTGGCACTCAGAGTGGTCAGCCAGCTACTGGTCAGCCATTCCTCTTCAAGTACTATCTTCCCTTCCAATTTCTGCTACTGTCTTTAACAACAGAAGTCAGCATCAGGCAACTGATTTGGGGTAGTGTTCCCTCATGCTCTCCCCAACCTGACTTTGGTACCTGTCTATGATCATGCAGCACAAAGCAGATTTTCCAGTCATACCCAGCTAAGGATTTAATATGTGCTCAGAGAGGAGCAACAGATTGTATTCCCTCAACACCCACACTGCAGAAGTTTGCAATAATGTTATAAGAAAAATAAATGTGGAATAAAGCACTGAGAAAACTGACAAGGTGGAAAGAAAGACAGTGATCCAGATGATGAAAAATGGATAGAGAAAAAACTTGTCTGGGCAGACAGCAAATGAAAAAAAGAGGAAACAAAATAAGAAAAGAAAATGGGAATGACAAATAAACAAGAGTGAACACATTTTCAGCATGGAGAGAATGGAAAATGACAATATGAAGGTAAGTGTAAAAACCTCAGCTGATAAACATACTAGAGATAATATACAACTGTCGAAAACGCGACTTAATAAATAATATTTATCCATATTAACTACAGGATGTCTTTGGATCAAATATCTTGTCATATGCCATTATTTTGAATAGGATGAAAGGACAGGAAAAGGGAAACATTCATTATTGACCCAGAACTGAATTTGCTATCTGATTCCTTATCTAGGAAATAAGACCAACAAAAATTAGCTTTGTGGTTATTAAATCCAGTCACATGATATGTTTTATTTTCCCCTGTACTTTAACATGACCATACACAAAATTTGCATTTCTGATTCAAGCACACATAGGCATTTACTTTTTAAGGATCTTGATTCCATAATGAAACATACTGTTGGTTAACACACAGAATACAGCTAGTACTCTCAGCCCCACTGTCTGAGCTATAACAGACCTGCAGCTTTTGCAAACCACTGCAAGACATAAACAAGCAGCAGATAGTGACAAGTACATTAACACAGGCAAGGTATACACCATAAAAAAGCAATTCTAAGATGATAAGTCAGAATAAAACCACTATTTATTGTAACTTGTTCTGATTATAAAAAGTTAGCCAGTTAAATGGCAACAGAAACAATCAAAGTTTTTAATAAGTTCTTATTAAACTCTTCAAAAAGTTTATTTAAGTAATAAATTATGTATGACCACTGTATAGAGTAAGTCTTTAAGAAGCCTTATGAAGAAAATTGTTTTGCAGTCAGTATTAGGCAGAAAATATCCCACTTTTCAGTTTATTGACTTATTACTAGAGAAATTACCATTTCAGTAAAGTTAGTTTCACCCAAGAAATACATACACGTTCATACACAGAAAAAAGATACGCAGAATAATTTTCAGTAATAATATCAAGTGATAAGGAAGAAGGCACGCTACCTATACATTCACAAACTAGCTGATTTTGCTATGTGCTATTAAAAAGGCTAGAAGTTGTAAACAGTGAGTCACAAGTTGCTATTAGAGATTAATCTTAAATAGAAAACTGTATGCATTTTAGATTTTTTAAGATATCATACCAAAACCAGCTTGATGCACATATATATGTATCCAGCCAGCTACTTAATATATCTTTAGATACTGAGTCTACAGGAAAAAAGTATTTGTCATGTCTTTATTTATTGTCACTAATAGTGTTGCATTTTTTTCATTATTTTTTTTTCACTGCTATAAGTGTTAGAAAAATTTGTGCAAACTTGCTTGCAAAAACTGGCTAGTTGGAAGGATCACCCACTCAAACAATAAAAAACAATCAATCCAAACAAAAATATTCAGTTTAAAATGGCCACTTCTAGCAACAAAACACACAAAGAGAAGTCGAAGAAGATCTGAAATCACATACATTCATACATGACTTCTTTATTGGCAGAGGAGTGTAATTTGAGGCCAATGAGACATTCATGGCCTCTGAAGTAAATGCAGATTGAAGTTAACGCTGATGTGCATCTACTAAAAACACCACTTGTACTTGATTATAAATCTGTGCCCCAAGCTACACTTAGACATGCTTAAATAGTCTATGAATCAGGCCTTCAGGGCTAACCTGATAGTTTCCAGGATCTGCAGTTAGCACTTTTTCAGCTTGAGCAGATGAGTATGTCCATGGCTTTATATTAATTCTGTACCTGCTGGGGAAATATGAGACACAGCTTAAAAGTCCTCTTTGCTCCAGGGTAGAATAGCAACCTCTAAAGTGTTTTCAAGTTTTTTTGACCTGCTTGTCATGGACAGACACAAGAAAACCAAACACAAATATACATTGTATGAGCACAGGAGATTGAGGACTGCGCAGATTTCCTGGGGTTTCTCAGCCTTGATCTAAACCAATTAGAGCACTACTGTGCACCTCTGTTTTCAGTCACTGACCACCTTCAGTCTCTGTCACTCCCTTCTGCTTAAATTCCCTGAGGCAAGGTTTTTGATGTGTACATAGGTCTCATCTCAATACAGAACCAGGGTTAAACACCCACATCCCACTCTTTAGACATATGCTCTGAAAGCATACAGTCGCCTTGATTAGCTGAACCTTAAATGTCACTCACTAGTAACCAGAGCAAAACAAATAATATAATTAATAAAACTTCAGATTCCCCTTATAGTGATATTTTGTACAGTATTTAAGGCATTTCACAGAATATGTGAATTTTAAAAATATTTCATTTACCAAGAACATGAATTGTGGCTTTTCTTTCCCTTGTCTTCTTCCCCTTTAAAGATATGATTTTTAATGTTATGAAGTGGTTTTATGGCCGTATTTTTTGGGAGGAGGGGGTTGTTTGTTGGGTTTTTTTTTTAAAT